CTACTAGCCAGTAGAATAAGATATGAGGATAAATATATATATATATATATATATATATATATATATGAGGATAAATATTATAATCTGTATGTTTAAGTATTATTAAATGTTAATAAGAGATTATTAAGGATAATAAGGTATTGTCAATATGAAGAGAAAAATTGTCAAAAATTTTAGCTCTTAAGGCATTCTATATCATATTTTATGTTAATTGTTATTAGAAATTATAGAATTGTTTGAGGTTTAACGTGCCTTTTCTAAAAAAAAAAAAAAAAGAAAAAGAAAGAAAGAAATACGAACAATTGATCGTCTAAATCATATTTAATTTCCGAACTCGTGTCTGCGTTAAAACTAATAAATAGTAGTCGATTTGTACAAAACAAGAATAAAAAGAAATGATCAAAAAAAAAAATTTTTTATCAATAACAAAAGAAATCTAATATAGACGTAAAAATAATTATTGAATAACATATTTGTATTCACATTATCATTTCTTTTTTTTTTTTTCAATAATAGTGATGTTTAATTTGTTAGAAAGATAACGTTAAAATGATGATATCATATATGATAATAATGTACAACATAAAAAATATGATACATTTGATATTGTGACAACTTAAGCTTTCCAATAATGTACGACATTGACATATGTATATAATATCGTTTATATAATGTGTATACAATGTATTAACATATGTATATAATATCAATTCAAAATATTCAATGACAAATCTATTGTTATGAAAATACACAAACGTACGATGAAATCGTATAATTGAATTATAATTAAAAAATTTTATTTACTGTAACGAAGGATTTTTAAAAATTCTTCCTAACACGCACAAAAAATAATATATAATTTATATATATATATATTTCCTCTCTACATATATCTAACTCTATATCCATTAAATTTATATCCTCCACTAGATAAATCATCCTTGTTAAAAGAAATAATAAAAAAAAAAAAAAAGAAAAAACCAATAAAATATACCACACGTGAGTAATATGCCCACACGTGCATTAGAAACTCTCGTTTGTCCTTCGCAAAATTACTCATAAATACTCCCTCGAATTACCTTTACATAAGTACTATAACAAAAAGGAAGTAAGAAGCAAAGAAAAAGAGAGAGAGAGAGAGAGAAAGAGAGAGAGAGAGAGAAAGGGCTGAATAAGCTTTGAAAAGATGACACAGAGAAGGAAAGAGGAGGAGGAGGAGGAGAGAGAGAGAGAGAGAGAGAGAGGGAGGGAGAGAGAGAGAGAGAGAGAGATAGGACAAGAGTACCTTCTGTGTATATACATCCAGATCCAAGAAACGATAGAGAAGATGAAGAAGAGGGGTAAGGAGGAATTCTAGCCCCGGCCTGTAAGCGAGGGTGAAGGACGTCAAGTGTTTTATTCGTAGTAGTAGTAGTAGTAGTAGTGGTAGTAGTAGTAGTTGGTAATAGTCCTTAGTTGTAGTAGTGAAAAGAGAGGAGAATTACCGAGAGGTCTCGCAAAACACACGCAGCTGAAGCTGACACATTCTCTATGCTCGGTTTTCCAAATGTGTGTGTATGAGAAAGAGGGAGAGAGAGAGAGAGAGAGAGAGAGAGAGAGAGAGAGAGAGAAAAGGTAGGAAAGAGAAGAGGAGCAAATCTAGACGCTTACTTAGTGACACACACAGCATTTTGCTCGAACTTTCTCGCTCCCATTCTCACTCATGTAAACTCTCTCTCTCTCTCCCTCTCTCTCTCTCTGTCTCTCTCTCTCTCTCTCACTCAGTTTCTGTCTATCTCCAACCTTGCTAATTCTCTCACCCGTCTTCTCTTTCCCATCCTCCCTACGTGGACTGGGTGTTGTATTAAATCCACAGCTTGTATCGCGGCTTGACAAAAGCAGACACACGACTTCCTTCCCTATAGACCTCGTTCTACCTATCATCCCTTTCCCCTTACCTCCCACTCACCATCTCTTCTCTTAACGTAGCTACGTTGAACGATCATCGTATTGTTTCAAACGTCGACGACGTTTATATAAGCCACGATACATGGATATCGAATGGACAGAGAAACAGACACTGCTCCCGATAATCCTTCCGTTCGATATTTCGGACTATGCCGATGACTTCGTACAAAGAGAAAATATTGTATCTTTTATCTTTTTATTATAGAAGATTGTAAAGAAAGAAATATAAATGATTATACGAGTTAATATAAATAATAAATAATTCCTATCGTTATCGACAATATAGATTATTATTATTAATTTTAATAATTCGTCAGAAATATCATATAACTCCTTAAGATTAACTCACCGACTCACATCCCCCCTCCCTCCCTAAACCTACCCCTCCTCCAATGTTCTTCTTGTTTTCCTATTTCTCAACTGATATCAAGTTTCAAGACGAATCTTCCTACGACGAGGCGACGCGACGCGACGCGACGCGACGCGACGCGACGCACGACGGAACTGCTTTCAACCCTTATCAAGCGCATCTGACTCTGACACGTGATTCGAATTTCCCGCCCACCTACGGTGTCAGCCGAGCACTTTAAAGTCGTACCGTACCCTATTAGATCTTCGGAAACGTCAGAGTTATCCGCCTCTACAAACACGATTCTCGCAACATGCATAGCGTGGTACGAGAAACGAGGAAGAGAGAGGAAGAGAGAGGGAGAGTATGAGAGAGAGAGAGAGAGAGAGAGAGAGAGAAAGACAGAGCGTAAAGAAAAGAAGAAGGAAAACGATTTATCTCGCACTCAGGACCACGAAATTCGACGTATCGTCCCTACTGTCGCTTCTCTTTCAGTTTGATTTCTGAAGTTTGAACGAATATTTCCGACTTATTTCATTATATAATAAATAAACAAAGTAAGACAAATCGTCGGAATTTCGTTTCGAGAAATATTTCGTAAGAACGGAATTGTTACGATGATTCGTTCGAATAGTTAAAACTTCCTTTTCTTTTTTTTTTTTTTTTTTTTTTTTTTCTTTTTTTTTCGTTATTTCTTGTTCTCTCCATCTATCTGTCTCCCTCACTCTCTCACTCTCTCTCTCTCTCTCTCTCTCTCTCTCTCTCTTTCTTTCTTTCTTTTTATACCACAACAACGAAGATCAACAATGCCGAGCAAGCTTTTTACGAAAGGTACGCACGATGTCCCGAATTAACGAGAGCTTTTTCGCATGGTCCGTGTTATGACAGCCCTAAGTAATGCACCGTGCTTACAACCGAGCATACAAAAACCTTTTATCTTCGTGGAAGGAACGTAGTTCTTCCTGTGGACGCCGTTTAGAAAATATCTATGCAACGCCGACAACGAAACGGCGAAATAATTATAAATATTGTGACACGATGCGCGTAAAACTGCGGGAACAGAACTGAAAAGGTAATGATAATAAAACGGAAAGCGTTTAAAAGCCAACGCTGATCTCTTCCTTCTTCTTCTTTTTCTTCTTTTTTTATTTTTTTTTTTCTTTTCTTTTTCTTTTTTTCTTGTTTCCTTTATTTTTCTCCCTTTTGTTGTTTTGTTTTTTACATTTTTATTTCCTTTTTTGTTTTTAATAATTTTCCTTTCCTTCTTTTTTTCTTGCCAACCTAGCCACGTTAATTTAATTACTCGAAATACGTTTTACGTTTCCCAACCGTGATTTCCTTCTCTTCCGAGTTTTAATTTTTATTTTATTTATTTCTCTTTTGTCTTTTTTGTCTTTTTTTTTTTTTTTTTTTTTCTTTCTTTTTATAGAAACAATTCGATGAAGTTATCATCTCGTGTGGAATAATCGTTTGATAACAAATACAATAATAATAAAATAAAATGGAAGGAAAGGGAAGGAATAAAACATAAAATAAAACAAAATAAAAAAATGAAAGAAAAATAAAAAAAAAAAAAAATGAAAAAAAGAAGAACGAAAAGAGAAAAAACGTGGAAGTGGTCTTTTCAACAAAAGCTTTGAAAAGGTATACGCTGACATTTTTGTCGAGCTCGAAATTTTTTTCTCAAGACGTGCTACCACCGATTTCTCTTCGTTCCTACAGCAACAGCAACATTTCCTCTTGCGACAAACCTTCTCTCACTTCTCTCTGCCATCAAGCAACGAGTTCTACGTTCGAAGCTAATGGTACTATGTCAGGTAATCCGTCTACACTTTCGTGAACTCACTTCATTCCGAGTGAAAGCGATTACTTCTTTTTTTTATTTTGTTTTTCTTTTTTTTTTTTTTTTTTTTTTAAGTAACGTTTCTGATTTTCTTCAAGATTAATTATCTTTCAATTCTCATAGTACGCGCGTTCCGCGTTGAAATGGTTGAGAACAATATTAAAAAAAAAAAAAAGAGAGAGAGAGAAAGAGAGAGAGAAAAGAAAAGATTATCAAACTCGTTTCCAAAGACAGATATTTTGTATTTTAAATTGAATATTATTAATTTTAATATGAAAAATGAAAATTCGTAATAAAACTTATATTCGTAACTTTCTATATTATTTTCTTATGTATCGAATGGAAGAAAAAAAACGAACAAAAAAAAAAAAGAAAATAAAAATAAAATAAAATAATTAAAATTATAGAAGTTGTTTCTAAAGATTTCTCAACATCTTCTCTATTACATTTTATATTGAGAAATTGAAATACGATATTACCAAGAAAATCGATCAATTTCAAAGAGAGAATATTTCTTTTGAACTTTCAAAGATAATGAACGTTATATTATATAAATACAACTGGCTTTAGATTATATAAAGACCTACAGTTGTCAGTATCAAGGCCTTCTTCCAATCGATAAGGAAACGACTTCGATGAAATTCTCATTAGCTTTGAATGGTACCCTTTGTCTTTAGGGTCAAATACAGAAACATCTGTCACGTGTCAGACGAGTCTTGAATTATTTCTTTCTTACATGGAAGTAGAAAGAATGAGGAGAAGGAAGAGGAGCAGGAGGAGGAGGAGAAGCAGGAGGAGGAGGAAAAAGAGGAGGTAAAGAAGAAGAAGAAGAAGAAGAAGAAGAAGAAAAAGAAAGAAAAGAAAAGGAAAAGGAGAGCCATGGACCGGCCAATGAGAAAGTCGTTCACTTATTTACCGTGGCACCAAGCAAACTGATCGTGAAACGTGCTCTGAATTGTTCATACTAGTTCATACCGAACTCCTTTTTTCCTTCCTCTTCTTGTCCTTCTTCTTCATTTTCTTCTTCCTATTCCTCTTCCTTTTCCTCTTCCTCTTCCCCATCCTATTCTTTAAACTACTCCATTCTCCTTTGGTGTTTTGAGCAATTTCCAAAGTCTCTAAACCTTCTTCGAAATTCTTCGAAATGTTCATATGATTCATTCGAAAACTCTAGTTACTACTTTTATTCGTTGTTCGAGAAAATCATCGTATCAGAATTTTCAAAGAGCAGAAAATGAACATCATTCTGATACTCTCAATAATTCTCATCATATCTCGCGAGTGTGGTTTCCTAGTCGATGGATTTCGCATTCTAGGCATCTGTCCGAGTACGAGTTATAGTCATCAACAACCATTCCAAGCACTGATGAAGGCATTGGCAACTCGTGGTCACAACGTTACCGTCATTTCGACGATACCATTAAAGGTATGACAATTTTACACTTGAGGTATGTATATACATACATACATACATACATACATACATACATACACACACACACACACACACACACATACATATAACTTAACCGAATATCACACATCACATATAACTACAATAATCGTAAATAATGTCGTAATCGTAAATAATCGTAAATTAGAGGAGACATTCAATTTCAATTTATTTCCAAAGGCGACATCTTTTATTCCGGTAAAAGCCAAGTGAAGTGAATCGCGAAGAACGCTTCAAACTAGTTCATAACGGCGTTTTAATAATTCAATAATTTTCTAGAAGTCGGTCGAAAAAAGTTCGGAAGATATTTCAAATAGACATCCGACTCTTTTCCTACCTCATCTACGTTTTTCCTTCCTCGTTCTACTTCTTACTTTTTTTTTTCTCTTTCTATCTATCTTTCTCCCTCTCTCTCTCTCTCTCCCTCTCTCTCCTGCTTCCTTACTCATACTCTATCCTTAGATCTATTCCTTCACTACACTTTCCTTCTCTCTCTCTCTCTCTCTCTCTCTCTCTCCTTCTCTCTCTCTCTCTCTCTCTCTCTCTCTCCTTCTCTCTCTCTCTCTCTCTAAACTCGAGTTCAAAGTTACGCAAACTTTGTTCACCTTCAATTTACTCCTACTAACATTTCTCTTTGCTAAATGTGTCCTCTCATGGACCAATAGTCTCTCCTTCTTTACTTCTCCTTTTTTTCTTGTTTTCTTTCTCCTTCTCTCTCTCTCTGTCTCTCCCTCTCTCTCTCTCTCTTTCTCTCTCTCTCTTTCTTTTCAAGTTGGAAATAAGTATTTGAACGGAAAGAACGAAATGTAACAATCCTTCGTTAAAACGTAATATTGTTCTTTTTTTCTTCAGAAGAGTCTTCAAAATTACGAGGACGTTGATCTCTCATTCACATATCGCAAAAGTGATTGCACTGGACTTAGGTGAGTCACGTGAATTTTGATTATTTTGTGACAATTTTTGTTTTGTTCTTTTTTTTTTCCTTTTTTTTATAATATACAATGAATCGATTTTTCATTTTTCTTTTATCGTTTCTATTTTTATTCACATAGACATATGAACGCTTACGAGATTCTAAGGAAAAATATGAAGGAAGCTAACGATCTATGCGTCGAGCAACTTTTCAGCAAACAAATCATGGAATTATTAACGTAATATAAATCAATTATTATTCTTTTCCAATAATTTGAAAATATTTCGCGTGTTTCTATTTTCCAAGAAATACCGATAATAATTAACACTTATTACGAATTTTTATACATAACATTTAATACAAAATATATATATATATATAGTCCTCAAATTGTTAATATTAACAAGAAATGATTTCTCAAATTATTGATCATTTGTGATTAATATTAATAATTTGTCCTAATATAAAAAATCTTGGAAATTCATTAAAAAGTAAAAAAAAAAACAAATTTAAATTCGTAGAATAATATGGCTATATTATATTTATTGTATCGCATAACAAGTAAGTACAAATATTTATTTAATACTTATAAATTCACCTAACGTCATCGAAAGAAATTCTATCCGCATGGGCAAGCTGGCGAAATCTTTCAGAGACATAGCTAAAACGTGAGAGAAAAACTTTTTCTGTCTTCGACGCGTTTTTCCTATACTTTTAAAAAAGTTTTCCTGACCTTTTTCTCTCTCTCTTATTTTCTATACAGAATTTATGTACCATAATATGTGAACATACTTATGTAATTTCACAGGTACAATCACGTAGTAAGTTACAAATGTTCATATAAGAAAAAAAAATATATATATATATACTCCTATATTTATTATTAAAGATTAATATTAAATTAAAAATAATTATAATCAAAATTTTTATTAATTAATTGCAGTTAATGCAGTTTATATCCAATAAATTTAAATATAAAGAAATATTTAATTTTTTAATTTATATTAATATAAATATATATATATATTTATTTAAATAATATTGATCATTCTTTTCTTGAAAATTATAATCACATTATATGATACAGTCTATATAAATAGAAAAATTTTTATTTACATAGCTGTATAAATTTATTACAAAATAGAAAGAAGAGAGGAATCATTTCTGTTTCAGAAAAAACAAAACTTTCGATGCAATCATAATTGAACAATTATGGTATCATTGTTATTATTCTCTGGTTAAACATTATAACTATCCAGTATTAATTGGATTTTTAAGCGTTGGAAATCTTCCATACGTCATGGATTCGATTGGTAAGTAACAATTTTTTTAATTCTATTAAAATTACGAATTTTTATCGTCGAAAACACGTTACTATTTGCAAAATCCTAGTATCTTATTAGAAAGGATTACAATCGTGATAAAGTAAGCTCGATGGTGTGAGCACAAACGTGACTCTATGGTTGGTTGTTCGTTGAATTTCGTGCTTTCTAACAGTCCCAAACGAACGTCGTTACCCAGCTCGGAAATTGACGTAAATTGTCGGTAAAACAGAAAGTGCGAGCAATCGTTGGAAGGGCGAAAAACCTTCTAGGAAACGGATAGATTGCTTGGTAGTGCTTTAACTTGTATCGGACGAGAAATGAAAAAGAAGAAAAAGAAAATACGAAAAGGGTCAATGTGTCTTGCTTTATCTTGGTTTCTATCGGTATTTCATTCTTATGAAATATATTAAAAAGTAAAATTTTTTTTATATGGTTGAGAAAAATTTCCTAAATATAAACAGAATTATTTTTTTTTCTTTTTTTTTTTTTCTTTTGTAATAATATCATCCTTTTATAAATTTCACAACATACGTTATATTTACTAAGCAAATTAGAAGAGTCGTTGTAGATGAATGCGTAAAGAATATACGAAGGCAATTAAATTTTTTAAAATAGAATTGTATATTTTTAATAGCATTGATCGATCCAGCTTGAGATTCTCTATAAAAAAAAAAAAATATTAATTCATATATGTCAAATTAACTTAGAAAATATTTCATAGTTATATCCATATTACGAAAGAACAATCTCGACATTTCGATCTTTTTAAACTTAAAACATTTTATATTATTCGACTATTGATAGATCTTCTATTTCTTATTTTAAATAAAGAAAATAAAATTTACATAATATTAATAAAAATTTCAATTTTTCAAAAAGATTTCATTATAGTTATGCCGTTATTACAAAAGAAAAGATAAAGAAAAAAATTCGATTTTCAAAATTATTAACATAATCGATTTGATTATAACGATATTATTACAATATTTAAATAAATAAAAAATTAAATACGTTTGAAAACAGTGCTGGTTTCATGTCTCTACGATTTTTTTTTTTTTTTGAAAATATTGCCTTCGAAACATTTCCATTCATAATTCGTATAGTATAGCTGTTCATAGTAATAGTAATAGTAGGACTATATAAATTTTCGGAACTTATATAGATCAGTGTGTCACGAGTCAATTGAATAAAATTATATAGATCAATGGATCAACGTAAACGTATTCGATTTAAATGAGAATATCTCCGGAACTAAAAGTCGTATAAATTTGTATCAAAATATCATTTTAAAGATCAAATTTTTTATTTTTTTTATTTTTTTCAACATATTATTAATAATTAATTAACAATTCGTTATAAAGAATTTTTATACAATATTTTCTTACGAATTAAATTCATTTTATTATCCCAATCCAAATTTTAAATGACTAATTTATAAAATTATATTTACTTTTGTAAAAGAAAGATATTCAAAATAATCAATATTATTTCCTATCTTATATATTTGAGTATATGCTAAATATAAACGCGATCTCTATATTAATTTCATTCTTAACGAATTTTCATTTCATTAAGTTTCATTCTTTTACAAAAAAAAAAAAGAAAAAAGAAAAACAATTCTTAAACTACTGTGTAGTTTATTTAAATGAAATTATTTTTAATTGTAACGAACATTAATTAACTATTTCATAAACAGTGTAAAACGATTAAAAATATCTATTAATTATTTATTATTTTATAAATAATATATCGTATATTATAAATGATAAATATAAAAATATTAATTATTAATGAAATAATTTTTGATTATTATTAAATTTTTGATATTAACTATCCATCAAGAGAATAATAGTAGTATAAATCAAGTTTGTAGTGCATTTGAATCGTAGAGAATGTCAATCGTAATCGATCGTGTTCTCGTTACTTTCAGGAAATCCGGACGATCCAATGTTAAATCCCGATATGGCTTACCCCTTCACAAATCGAATGAGCATGGACGAGAGAATTTGGAACATATTATACACGAGCTGGACCAGGTTCTATTATAGATACTGGCATTTGCCAAGAGCACAACGAATAGCCAACAAGTTCGTACCGGATACGCCGCTTTACGACATAGATAGAAACTTCAGTTTGATTATATTAGGCAATAATCACGTCCTTGGTTATCCAAAACCTTTATTACCGAACGTGATCGAAGTCCATAGCCTCCAAATCAAGGAACAAACTGAATCCTTACCTAAGGTATTTCATTAAAATTATTTCTAATGTCATTTATTTGTTTAAAAGAAAAAAAAAAAATTTTTTAAGAAAATAATTGAAAAATCTAATACAAAGTTAGATGTACTTAAAACATTAAAAATATTTCATTTAAATATTTCTAATACAACTTTTCTTTTTTTTTGTCTTTTTTTTTGGTTTTTTTTTTTTGCTCAAAAAGAAATTAGGACAAAAATATAAAAGAACAAAAAAATTGCAAAAAATAATACAGAATAGTGACATACTTGAAACACATAAAGTATTTCTTTGAAATATTTCTAATACTGTTCTATGATTCGCAAAGGATATTTAGAAAATCAATTTTTTAAATGATACAAATGATACAATTGTTTATATAATTGAAAATTTTAATGTACATCAAAGAAGTATGTCTGTAATAACATTTCTTTTTTTTTTTATTCAAAAAGAAACATTATGAAAAAAAAGAATTAATAAATAAAAGATAAGACAATAATATATGTTTGTCATACGTGATTACGATACAATAGTTAATTCTCTTTCGTGTTATAAATTGTCGTAGAATAACATGTTCAATTATAAAAACATGAAAATGGTATTAAAATAATTGTTTCATATCTAAGCAATTATATGCCATTGAAGTTAAAATGATTGTTGTTAGTTTTAATTATTATTATTATTATTATTATTAATATCTATCATTATTATTATTTGTTATTATTATTATCGTTGTTGTTGTTTTTGTTGTTATTATTATTATTATTATTATTATTATTATTATCATCGTTGAAAAATGTTTTTCGTACACAAAAAATTTAAAAATTTTTCTACCTCGCGACATCCCAATTTCGTCGATTAAAAAATAATCTCCATTTTCGATCCAACCCCTTTTTGCAATTATAATCATAATAAATAAACGTAAATATTGCTTAACTTAAAAGATATTTAAAATAAAATCTATCCACTCTTAAACATAGAAGTCCAAGAGTGATTTATTTACTATTAGAATGAATTCTTTTTTCGAAATAATACACTTTATTTTATTTTATGATTAATCGAGATAACGATAGTAACAAAACATTATTTGAAACTCATTCGTATCACGGTGCGGTATATTAGTAATAATTATTCATACCACTCTACCGAATCGTTAAACATTTATTCATATATACATATATATATATATATATATATATATATATATATATATAGTTTAAAATATAAATGCTGCTAAATAATTATGATATCGATAGAATTATTTCTTTTTTATAATTCTATAGAACACTATAAAAAAAAAAAAAAAAAAAAAAAAAAAAAAATAGATATAACAAATTGATATAAATAAATATTCATTTCAAAATTATTCCTTTCTAACGTATACATTTCCCCCATGTAATTTTCTACATTTGAAAAAAAGAAAAAAGAGAAAAGAAGAGAGAAAAAAGAAGAACAAAAAAAAAAAAGAAGAAAACAGAAAAAATGTTTTTTTGGGAAATTTGTACACACGTATTGATCGTCATGTTATATGATTCAACCTATACATATATCTATATACATATATCTATATATAGATACATAAGCTCTAGAGTATAGAAGGCTCGAACGTTGGCCAAAATTCATCAGCATAGTCCCTCGAAGCGATCACCTATATCTCCTACGAGTCCATGGTTATACCAAACGACAAAATTGTGCGTCGCTGGAGCATGATTTCTCTCGGGGATAATACGTAGTCGTTCTCACAGGTGACTCTACTGTTGGGGAAAGTTTACCTACGGCTCAACATTGCGATGCGAAAGTAAGGGTCATTGCTGTTTACCGGTGCTCATTCCATTCTTACCCATGGGGATGAAAAGCTAAACATTTTCCGGAAGAACATTTCCGCATACCGCCACTGACTTTACTTTAAACTATAACTACTAGGGAACAAAAAAAAAAAAGAATTTCTAAAATTTCATATTAATTCGAGATACGTATTATATACATGGTTAGCATATTAACCCCTTAAATGCAATTATTGCGTTCAAATCCCATAATCGCAATGTTATAACGTATTAATAACAATTCAATTTTTCATACAATTCTGTAAAAAAAAATAAAATAATAATAATAATAATAATAATAATAACAATAATCATCATAATAATTGATTCAAATATATAATCTAATTTCTAACATTGATCTAACATTGATTTCTTGCAAATTTCTGAAAAAAATAAATCATGCCTATCATCAAAGAGTTAGTATCATTAATATCATTACATCATACCTTATAATATCGTCGATTATAACTTTTCAAAATCTATACGTTCAAATGAGAAAATTTGAAAGAAATTAATTGAAATATAATTTTTGCTCAAAATCTGTATTAAGAAAAAAAAAAAAAAGAACAATGAAACAAGTGGATATATAATCATTGATTATGAAAATACATCGATAATTCTTTTCTTTAGGATATTCGTGAATTCCTGGATGATGCCATAAACGGAGCCATTTATTTTTCTCTCGGTTCGAATCTGCAAACTCACCAGCTACCCAATGACCCTTTGACGGCATTGTGCAACGCCTTGGGCTCGCTCAAGCAAAGAGTTCTATGGAAACATGCCGGAGACATGGCTATTCAGTCGAGCAACATCAAATTTGTGAAGTGGGTTCCACAGCAAGCGGTTCTTGGTAAGGCTACTGTTACCACTTCTTCTTCTTCTTCTTCTTCTTCTTCTTCTTCTTCTTCTTCTTCTTCTTTTTCTTCTTCTTCTTTTTCTTCTTCTTCTTTTTCTTCTTATCCTGTTAAAGGCTAAACTTCGATCAACTATTTTTCCAATACACATTTACAACGGTCGGTCTACAGTGTGTCTCAATTAATTTCTATATCATTTGATAGATGTAAAAGAAAATATATAGAAATTTATCTTTAAGTAAATAAGATAATTATTTTAAATATCTCGAAAAATCGAAGGTAGATACAAAAATATTTTAAGGAAAGTTTACTCGTTTATTTCTTTTTCTTTTTTAATTTTTGTGTGTTTTTTTTTTTTATATTCCTATTTAAAGCAACAAAGTTGAATTTGTTAAATGAAAAAAAAAAAAGAAAAAAAATTAATAAATCCCCCATTCCACTACTCTTCCTTAAAATCAGATAACACTCGATCTAACAATTTCTCTCAAAAATACTGATTATTTCTTTCCCTCTAAATTAAATATTTATAACGCTTTATTCTGAACACCCGTTATATATTTCATAGATTATTTTCCAATAACCTGCATCCAGATTATGTCTTCGAATATATTAATATATTATCTTTAAGTAATATTTATAAGATACGTTCAGATACATATGTAAATTATATTAAAATCTTTTATTATATTTTATTTTCTTCTTTTTTTTTCTTTTTCCTTTTTTTTTTTTTTTTTTTTTTGTTAATGAGAAAATCATGCGTCAATTTGATTCAGAGTAGACGATAAATAATTAACGAGACGCACGATTTACCTTTCTAAGGTTTAATAACGCGAAAAGAGAAGGGAAGGGATGGGAAGGGAAAAACGTTTGGAGCTTCGTAAAGGGCCAAATTTAACGGCGGCACTCTTAGGTTCTCTTGCTCTCAACGTCTTTAACGAAGTTGCATCCGACTTCGTACGATACCTTTCATTTACAAGAGGCGTTAATTTTCTTTACTCAACGCGGAATGCTCACTTTAAACATTAACCGTCAAACGATTCGAACGTAATTACTTGGAAGATGGCGCTAGCATCTTGCACAGCACTTAACAGACAATAGAAAATTTCCCTTTTATGGGAAATTACGTTGAAGAAAGCGTCCCTCTCACGCTATAGTTTTCTTTACCCACAAAATTCTCTATCCCTTTCTTTCTCTCTCGTACTTTTATAGAATAGTACTTGTCAGAAACGATTACTAGAGTCGATAATTCGTGCGAGTTCCTTCGACTTGAATAATTCAATTTCAAGATCGTTCGCGATCCCTAACTTCTATTTTTCTATCTGTTTTCAAAGTAAATACTAATAGTGATCTTGAGTTACGAGAGAAAAGAACTACTACTAAATAATATATAAATGTCTATCTATATATATAGACACATATGTACATATATATATATAGATATACATATAGATAAATATATAAATATATATATAGATAAACGTAAATTGTTGTTTCTTTGTTCATAGGTAAGACTAATTAGAAACTAAGCATTAATTAACAAATAAATATTTATCACTTTGTTCACAGAGAAACATATTTTCGTTTATCACCTCCCATAAGCAATCCGAGATATTATACATATATATATATACATGTACAGGGTGTCTTTAGATACTTGAGATATATGCTTTTCAAAATAATCACAAAAGTATAATATAAAAAAGTTAGAATGCTTTCGCACAGAAGATCGGATAAAAATTTGATTTAACGAATATTATTTAAGTGACACCCTAAGTATGCTAGTCTTTAAAAGTAAACTCTACATTCGTGTTAACAAAAAAAGAAAGTTAAGATTTAAGAAAAAAATATAAATATATGATAAGAGAAAAAAAAAAAGAAGGAAGATTGAAACTGTTCGTATAGAAAATCAAAGTGACACTTTTTGAAAAAGGATTTAAAAAAAAAAAAACAAAAAAAAAAAGGGAAATTGTAAATATTACTCTTGTTAAAAATTATTTTCACATTAGCATTAATATTATTTTAATAAATTCAATGATAATCATATACAAAGACACCCTGTATATTTATCCGATAAGTTCCACCGATACGATTCGATTTTCATTCGGTCGGAAAAAAGGGAAGTCTCAAAGATACTTACGATCGATTCGCTTTTAGAATGCCCTTGTATTGAGCAAGTCAGTGTAATGCAACTCGATGGCCGATAATACGTCCAAGTTATCCAGTTTCAAAACTAAGAGCGTAAGTATTTGGTTTCGTGAAGACGGTCTTCGAACTTTCCTTGAATCTTCCTTTGGCTTTTGGAGTCTTTAGTATCGTGCGATTGAACTTCCAACTCGAAGTAACTCTTTCGAAGACTTCCGAATGGCTTTAAATTTCGATCTGTTTGAAATTTATGAAATCTGATGGTAAAAGTACGAGATATGTCTATTCCAATGCTACTCTCTCTCTCTCTCTCTCTCTCTCTCTCTCTTTACCTCTATCTCTATCTCTATCTTTATCTCTGTCTCTCTCTCCCTCTTTCGTTTCCCTTTTTATTTTTTATTTTTTACAATTGTTAAATTATATAATATATTACTACGTAACTTTTAAAATGAATTCCAATATAATGTACTATCTTTTTCACTCTTAATTTATTTCTGATATTAAATATCAAAAATTCTGTCTTCTATTTTTTTTTTTTTTTACAATTTTTATGCTATAATACTTGCTGTTTTACTATTTAACTCTACCATTATACTCTAATAATTTGTTTTTGTTTTTTCTTTCGCTTTATTAGCAATATTTTTCTTCTACATATATATATATATATATATATATATATATATATATATATATATATATTTCTTTTTTAAATATTTTTATAATACTTAAGTTATATACTGTTTAATTTATACAGAGTGATATATTATACAACATTACAAGTGTGAATTAAAACTGCTTTGCTTTATATTGAACTAAATCAAATTATTTGTTTATCTTTCTCCTTGTCTTTCTCATTCTTTTCCATGTTCAAACAAATCAACTTTGTTGTATATAATATATCTTACACGTTTTGTATCTATAATATATAAATTAAATATTTTATTTATGCTTCATTTTATAAACTATCTCTTTATTTCTTTATCCAATAACGTTATTGACAATAGCTATTAAGTAAAATCGAAAATCTTTCTCTTTATCTTCCTATTTGAAAATTTCCTATCTTATGAAGAAGAAATTAACGTTCACATAAGGGGACCCTAGATAGTAATTTTCCTTGAATATTCCTTATTAAAGGAACCCTGATATCAGCTCCAACCAACTTTCATCCTCTCGGTAATACCTCCTGGTCGTTTGAACGTTCGGTAAATTTTCGAAAGCAAACCATCGATAAAGCGTTACTTTCATATGCAGCACATCCAAAAGTGATGGCCTACATGATGCAAGGTGGTCTACAGTCATTGCAAGAAGCTATACATTATTCCGTACCTCTGATAGTCCTGCCTTTCTTTGGAGATCAACATTTCAACGCAAAAAAAATTCTCGACGCTGGAATTGGACTCACGTTGAACGTTGACACAATGACGGAAGAATTAATCGTACGAACTATCACAGAAGTCGTGGAGAATAAAACGTAAGAAAAAAAAAAGAAAAAAAAAAAAATATATATATATATATATATATATATATATATATACACATAAGAAAAAAGAAGGAACTATTTTTAAATGAATTTTTTCTTTTGCAAACATTCTATTAATTTTATTTTACAATTAAATATGATACATGTAGCAATGATTCTTTATGCTGATTTAATGTATGTATCAGTTTGCTTATTACGTTGGTCATTCAATAGTTAAGATTATCCTTTAGACCTATTTAAATTATAACACTAACATACTACATAATATAATATAGTATATTATTAACTGCGATAATAGTAATAATGTACACGTTCCCCTAATAATTTGAAGCGATATTATACGTTATAGTGCTAATGATATATACCATATTACCTTACAGATATATACACAATATCAAACTGATATCGGCCATTTTAAAGGATGAACTAGTACGTCCAATGGAGAGAGCAATTTGGAACATTGAACACGTTCTAAAGTTTCCTAATTCTAAACACTTGCGCTATCACGGTCGGGATATGTCATGGATCGATTATTATTTGACAATACTGGTGATTTTTTTAATTTTCACGATTTTAATATTCATCGGTTGTGCATGCTTTATTGTTCTAAGAAAAGCTGCAAAAAGTTATTTGTATCTTCATATGAAACGATATAAATACAAAAATGAATAAATGATAATTTAAAAAATTTGTTTTTGTAATCAAATTTAAAACAATAAAGAATAATCGATCGATATTAATTTTATTTTTTTCTTTCTCTTTTAATTCAAGACTAACCGAACTAGATAAATTACATGTTAGATTCTATCATACGTTCTTAAGATAAATTTGATGCAACGGTAACCTAATTTATAAATAGAAGCGTCAATCACGTTGCCGCATTTATTATAAGAACTTTACGATACTGTCAACATATATTTGTATATATGTATATACATAAACAATATCGTAGTCACTGCTATAACATTTTATGTACACAAAATTCATCAAACGAATATATAGGTATAAATAAGTAAAGTGAACTTTATGCGCATTCTATATTACTGACCTACTTTAAAAATCCTAATCGGCGAAACTTCAAACAGATTTATTTGATATGTCAAGACTTAAAAATTTTCAGAAATCCAAAACTAAACATTATTAAATATTTGCATAAATATCTATTTTGCATAAAAATTGTCCGATATAAATTTCAATAATAGAAATTAATTATAAAATATACACCGTGATATTTTATATCTAAGATTTCTAATAAATAAATTTTTTATTTTTCAACATTTATAATTAATATCAATTAGAATTACCATATATATTAAATTATGAGAATTAATATTTATTTTAATTGTTATCATAATTATGAAAGAATTATTATATCACAATAATAATACTGTTACACAGGGTAATATATCATTTGTTAATAATAAAGAATGTTAACTTATTGATATTATCGACCGACGAATAGGATTATTATGATGACTTGATTATAGGAACCTGTAATATCGACAAAATGTTGGTAAATTATCGACTATGTAGATATTCTGTACAAAACTCTATAATAAAAAAAAAAAAAAAAAAAGACTAATGTTTAAATCTATTAATTTAAACATTATTGCCACGAAACAATCCATTATAATAATAAAGGTGATAATAATATTAATTAGAAGAAAGTAATCGATATATTTATGACCTGTTGCAAAATATATTGCAATTCTTTGTTCTTCTCTCTTCGTTTATCTTGCTATATTGCTTTGTTTTTAAGACACTATGGTTGTAAATGAGATAACTTGATAAACTTGGGACTTGATTATAATCACTTTTTCATTATACAACAGGACATAACT